GGATCATGACCTGAGCCGAAGGCAGTCGCTTAACCATCTGAGCCGCCCAGGCGCCCCCCAATCACTCAGTTTTTTTGTTTGTTTGTTTTGTTTTGTTTTGTTTTATATGACAGAGAGAGACACAGCGAGAGAGTGAACACAAGCAGGGGGAGTGGAGGAGGGAGAAGCAGGCTTCCCGCGGAGCAGGGAGCCGGATGCGGGGCTCGATCCCAGGACCCTGGGATCATGACCTAAGCCGAAGGCAGACGCTTAACCATCTGAGCCACCCAGGCGCCCCAATCACTCAGTTTTTAATAGAAGCACTGCATGGTTGCACTTCTCAAATCATAAACAGGAAGTGTAATATATAAATGTCAGTAAAACTAGAACTCAGTTCTATGGCTTGATATTTTCATTTTAATGTCTGATTTTGTATGTACTTCAAATGATTACATGAAGGCAAATAGTAATATTACCTGGTAAGTTTTCTTTGGCAACCTAACACTTTGGGTTTTGGGGGAAATATTTAGAGTAACCCATGTGTTGTAGATTTTCACAGAGGAAGAAAGGGGAATGATCCAGAAACTGCTATTAGTTTGGCATCCTTAGAAACTGCTTTTTTATATATGTTGCCCAACTTTATTAATGCCAGAAGATAGTGTAGATGGAGAAAGAAGCCAGAGAGTGCATGACTCTTAATCTATTTAAAAATACATTATAGAAAATAGTCTTAGACTTTGTATATTCTTATTCGGACACCTCAGCAATTCCTCGAATGTGTTCTACTACATTAATTCCTTCATGAGACAACTAAGGAGTAGCTTAAGTACTGCAAAAATCAGGATATTATCTCTGTTTCCTCTCTGAAGAAATTAGGGGTCTTTTTAGGATTGGTGATATTTTCTACATAATACTATTTCAGTTTCTTTGCTACATGGACATCTCTATGGAAATTACAAGAGGAGATTCAGTGCTCACTTCAGCAGCACATATACTAAAACTGGAACAACACAGAGAACATTAGCATGGCCCCCACGTAAGGATGACACGCAAATTCATGAAGTGTTCCATAACAAAAAAAAAAGAAGAAGAAGAGATTCAAATTGACTAGTCTAGAACTTTTATATTACATTAAATATTTCTGGAGAAATGTACCAACATATAGATACTTCTATAACTTTAAAATGTTTTTTTCTTTAGGAAATAGTTTCTTAATTTGTTCTTAAACTGAACACTGAAGGAACGATTTTACTCAAAGTTACATAATATAGGAGGGAATTAGCAAAAAATAGAACCTATCACAATGATCCAGAGAATGTCATAAAAGGTAGCCTGCCCATCTATTGAGTACCTAGCTTTCTACAGCACGTGAGGCACTGCTGAGCAACATATACAATATATAAAATTTGAGGGTTTCTAATTTTTAATTTTTTTAAAGATTTATTTATTTTAGAGAGAGCGCGCATGAGCGCAAGCAGGGGGAGGGACAAAGGGAAAGGGGGAGGGAGAGAATCTCAAGCAGACTCCCTGCTGAGCATGGAGCATGATGCTGGGCTCAATCTCAAGACCCTGAAATCATAACCTGAGCCAAAATCAAGAGTCGAATACTCAAGTGACTGAACTACCCAAGTCCCAAGAATTTGAGGTATTTTCATTGAAAATACAGCATATGTAAAAAGGATTTGGGAATGTTTGAAAAGTAACATAATAAGAATATATTAACCAAATGCAAACTATAAATAACTGCTAAGGGGAAGTGGAAAATGAAGTGATTTAAAACTAGATTGATAATGGATAGAAGTTTACTGGAATAGGCAAATTTTATGTCAATTTTTTAAAGTGGTGATGGATTTTGATTGCCAGAGAGAAAAGATAACCATTCATTCACTTATCAAAGATTTATTGAGTGCTCACTATGTGCCATGTGCTAGACACTGTTCAAGGCACTAGAGATATGGTAATACACAAAACCATTGCAGAGCAGGAACAGATATTTCATTGCCCAGGAGGCATGATAATTTGATAGGAACAGAAAACACAAATATGAGAATAGAGAGAAATGAAATAGAAAGGAAAAGAACTAGTAATGGGCTTATAGTAGAAGGCCTTAAATACTAGGATGTTTCTAAATGGGAGAAAGATGTTTGGTGTGAATTGAACTCCTTTGGTCACTGCAGTCAGAATAGACTGCCTTTTTTTTCCCTTCCATCAGTTCTCCTAGCCTCTTAGATAACTTTATAGTAACCAGAATAAAACAAAATAAATACTGCATATAGAAAGATTCACAGCTGAAGTATGTGGAAAGCAAAAAGGAAAGAATAGGTAGCAAAAGTTGAATTTTATGTCTCCTTTTATCTTTCCAATGGCTATTATATATTATCAATCCCTTTCTAGCAGGAGTCTCCCATTCAGTATTTGTGATTCAATTCCTGAAGGTTCTGCTCTTCTTCTTTGCTTCTAGGTAGAATCACTGAAAGGAAAGGAGATTCCATTTAAATTCCCTTTTTCGAGTCAATCCTGTTCCTTATTCACCTAGCAGTACTTCTCTATAGAGTGTGTGATGAAAAGTATTTTATGTTTTGTGTGGGATGGTGGGGAAAGGGGTAAGACAAGATGGGCACTAAGGAGAATACCAAGAGGCTGTAATTCAATATAATATAAGAGCCTAGAATACAAACTTGACAATTAAGAGCTTGGATTAAATGGGCAGTTTTAAAAATGAAAAGAGACATATCTGAAGTATACAATAAAGAACAACTATAAAAAGTAACAAGTTTAACCCCTGTTTACCTATGGGAGGATAAGAAAATAAGGAAATGAATGTAAGTTTTTAAGTTTGAAGGTCTGAAAATTTGTGTTGTGAATAAGAATAGTCAAGAAATTTGAAAGAAATAGCTTGAAGGAAAAAATGAACTTAATGTCAGATCTAAATGAGATGTCTCCAGAAGATAGAGGACTCAGACTTTCTTGATAAGCTACTGGACCTGTTGATGTACACATGTAAATCGGCACCATATAGAAATTGATTGAAACTATGGACTAATGAGGAAATACAATGAAGATGATCAAATGGCTATGTATGAACTTTGACTGTAAGATTAGGTATCAATTTCAAAGAAGGTAATCTAGCTTTGGAACTCTTTCCTTCAGGTCAGACAAAGCTGTCCTTTATTAAACATCATCTCTTCATTTTGACTGAGCCCTTAGTAAGTGAGAATAACAAAATAAATGAATAAAATTGAAAGACTTATTTTTTTCTGGATTATCTCACTGGAAGTTCTGGATTTTTTTTTAAAAAAAAGATTTATTTAGGGCACCTGGGTGGCTCAGTCATTAAGCGTCTGCCTTCGGCTCAGGTCATGATCCCAGAGTCCTGGGATCAAGCCTCACATCGGGTTCCCTGCTCAGTGGGAAGCCTGCTTCTCCCTCTCCCACTCCCCTTGCTTGTGTTCCCTCTCTTGCAGTCTCTCTCTCTGTGTCAAATAAATAAATAAAATCTTTTTTAAAAATTTAAAAATTCAAAAAGATTTATTTATTTATTCATTTATTTATTCGAGAGAGCACATGTGCAAGCGGGGGCACAGGGGTGGGCAGAGGGAGAGAGAGAATCTCAAGCAGACTCCCTGCTGAGTGGCGAACCTGATGCAGGGCTCCATCTCAGGATCCCAAGATCATGACCTAAGACAAAACCAAGAGTCAGACACTTAACCAACTGATCCATCCAGGCACCCCTGAAAGTTTTGAATTTTTAACTGAATGTCCTCCTAGCCAATTTATACAAATTATGTGTCTTAAGATACAACAAGCAAAATAAATATCTGCAACTTTTCTTTGACTGTATACCTTTATATAAAGGCTATGGCTTAAAAAATACAGAATATAAAATTTACATTAGCATAAGTCATTCAAATTATTTAGCTGTTAAATATGGAGTTTGTTTTATATAACACTGTCAGGGTGAACATGAATATCCA